TCAGTGTCTGCAGGCAGCAGAGAAAGTTTGGGGTCTCCCTGTGCATGACAGACCTCACTGACCTGGGGGTATTTGACTGACACTGGCACAGGTTGCCCAGAGATGTGGTTGCCCCATCCCTGGAAGTGTTCAAGGCCAGGTTGGATGGGCTTGGAGCAACCTGTTCTAGGGAAAGGTGTTGCTGCCTATGGCAGGGCTTTGGAATCAGATGAGCTTTAAGGTCCCTTCCAACCCAAACCACTCTATGATTTGATACATGCCTACCAGTTGGTTTCCTCTGATGATGACACAGTTGCTGTTATTAATGGATTTCATAATGACACAGATTATAGCATCTTATCCTAAATTTCAAACTATTTTAGGATAATTTTAAACTTTAAATTTAGGAGGAGAAATAATGGAGAAGAAAAGATAACTCTTAGAATAACGGATCTTAAATCCCCCTTTCCTCTAAAATTCAGCATGAATTTTGAGAAAGTAGCCAATCCTTAAAGATGTAGAAATTATTCTGTCACACATCCTAGAGCTTCAGACAAACACAGGATTGTGAATACCCAACTTTACCTGGATTAACTTTTATAGTTCCACCTTTGCTCAAGTTCATCATTCATCACCACTGAACAACACTCCAGACCTCATCCCGGACTGAGCAAATTAGAAAATCTGAAAAAACCACGGATCTCTGTTTTTAAAAGCCCATTTGTCAGCAGTTACCACAATAGAGATCTATTGATAACTTGCATTTATAAGATTTGATAATTCAAGATTTCCAGTGCTTTGGCACTAATACAGGAGTGTGGTGGTCTGTTATTTTACAGTTGGTTCTTCTGTAGTACATTTTAATATTCCTTGTTATAAGTTTGCAATGATTCGTTCTATGTACCTCATTTGGCTTCCCTAATGGCTCAGTCCTGAGTTGTTTACCACAGTTTTCCCCACCAAAATGTATGTCAATCCACTTGTCAATCCACCTGTATACCTCCCTTGTTGCCTTGTCTTACCCCTATCTGTCAAAGATAGCAGATTCCTTTGATTCTGGAGTGTTCCCTGTCTTTCATCCCTTCCTTGGAGCAGAATTGGATTGTGAGTTTTGCTCCCTCCGTGTCGCCCTGATTCTTAAGATTTTCTAAAGCCTTCTGAGTTTACATTCTGTTAGAAAACTTTCCCACACATTTTCTATAAACAACATATTGTTTTGCATTCCTTCATAGGGGTGGAGAAATGATGTACTGGTAGTTTGTCCAATGTCTTTGGAGAGGTGGCACATTCACTCTCCAATCCACTGTCACCTTTGGAAAAGTATAAAAGTTGGATTCAGTAAACAAACCTTCTTTTCTTTACCTTGCAAATAGCAGTGGCTCACGTTGTGCTTTCATGTGTTCTATAGTGACACCTCCCCATGTTGGTTTCTACTGGGGAGCCCTTACCCTGCACCCCACCCCTGATGCCTTCCTGTTGGTCAAAGGTTGTGTCCTCCCCATCCCTTAAAAGCAACCCCTTCAGGTTCAGATTTGTCACTTGCTCTGCCCAAATTTGAGATTTAATATTTGGAGACTCAGACAAGTGTCCCTCCCTCATTCCTGTGCCTCGGTTTCCTCGTGCTCTGTGCCTCTGCTGCTCTCCCCAAGCCGCAGAGATCACGGCCACCCGTGGGAGTCAGATAAACATAAACCCACCTCCACTGCATTTCCAACACAACTCCATTATCCATTACCCAGCTCCAGTCTCATGGCCACTCATGGGACAGCTGCCAGGGAACCTCCATCCCATGGCCGCTGCGAGCCAGGCACGCAGGAAAACTCTTATAACACCTCTAACCTTAGGCACGTGAGCTGTCCCTTTTTGAGTTGTTGCTGTGTCATACAAGTGGGTAGACTTCACAGAGTAACTTAACCAATGACAATTTTTAGATCTGAATCTCGTCCTTACATTGACATCTATGTTATGGATCTGGTGGCTTTCTCCTAAGCTCTCTAGTCATGGCAGAATATCCCTTTATATCTAGTTCCTGCAATTGTTTAGTTACATGATACCCTCTTCTGCCTTAAGCGAAATTTCAAGATAACATGGTTCTGGTAAATACTTTGAAAAATTCCACTTAAAATAGCAAAAAAGAGAGAACTTTCTGCACAGAAACAGACAAAATACTGTCCATTTATTCTTAACAAAAGAAGAAATAAAAACAATCCACAACATATTCTATTGTTACTATTTTTATTATTATTGTTGCTCTCACAATTAGAAAACACAATGCTGCTTCCATGAAGAGAGAGTAATTTGTTCTTTAGATGAATAAACCAAAGCTCTGCTGAGATATTTAATCAAACTCTGTCTGACTAATGAAACTGGTCCTGAGAGTAAAACAAAACAAAATATGTTGTACATGTTAAACTCATTAATCTCAGGTAGATTTTAAGTTTCCTGTTCTTTCTCCCCCTCTCCCAAATTTTGTTTTCTGCTCCATCTCCCTTGCAGAGGAGAGAGTCATGCCTGTTATAGCTCAAATTTGCTCTTGGGAACAAAACAATGGTGTTTCACAACCCACTATCTGATGCAGGGAAAAGCAAATCCTTTGTCACAGGGTGGAGGTCTAACAATAATTGATCCCAGACCTGAATTTTCCTCTTGTTCCTCATATTCCCAAGTACCTCCAGAGCCTCCTCCCAGCATTTTCCCCAAACAGGTAGCCCAGATCTGGGCAGCACAAGTCTATCTCACTTGAAGGATGATAATGGCTATCTACAGGGATCTGTTTTCTAGCAGGAAGAGGGGTGGTCCCTCAGGGATTCAATTTTTATCACTTTCCTAACAAAGACAATTCTAATTGTATCCAGATTGCTTTCTTCTTCCATCACTCCCCTTCCCCTCACCAAGGGCTTTTCTACCTGCATGTGAAATAGTGTGACTGCTTTAGTAAAATTAAGATTCTTTCTATTTTTGCAGAATAAAATACACAATCAGATGGGAGGTTTTTTACAATTAATGGTATTTGCCTACCTTATGGAGAAACCTAAGTGATATAAAACTGGAAGGGGTAAGGATGGGGGGTGATTAATCAAAAATACAAAGTCAGCCAGATGTGTACAGGTCTAAAACCTCAGCTCTGAAAATAGCATTAAGTCCTAACTGTTTTATTAAATCATAGATTTATTTTTTTCCAAATTAATAAGTACTACAAGGCCACCAACATAATACTCTTCAGGATAGCTTGGCTGTTTCCATCAGGGGTAATACTGTAAAGCTGTGAAATAATAGTGTTTGTGGGAATAAATCAGATGCATTTTGCCAGCTAGTATAAATCAACAGTACTGTGTAGTACGACATGGAGCTGGGCCAAATTATATCAGCTGTTGGATTATCTTGAGAAGCCAGCTGAGATTTTGAACGTGGTTGCCCAAACTGCAAAACTCCAAACAATTCAGCCATTTCAGGCCAACATCTTCAGTAACAGGCATCTGTGGCATGCGATGACAAAGTGTGTATTGCCACCATGGCTAAAGTTCTGCTGTGAGTTCATTTCCCACCTGACAGACCTGCAGTGCCTAATTGGTTTACTCACTTCTTTTAATTACAGGTGATGATTTATTCTGACATGAGAAAGCCAGTCAAGGATTACAGGTCAGACATAGGAGTAAAACAGTGTATGTATAGACTATTTCTTCCTTTTTGCTAGTTTTTCACCAAGCAAAAAGACTCATGACATCAGCAAGGGAGAAGGAAAAAAAGTCATTACAGAATGGCATTGAAATGCTCAGATTTTTCTTCAGTCAGAACATCCGTGCCTCATTGGCATCATCAGAAACTGGAAATAAAAATAAAATTCCTTAAAAGAATGAGAGTAGATGGTTTCTTTACATATCAAATGAAGTCAAAATCTGGCATTGGAGAGCAGTGGGATTTGTGCCACCAGCCTGTCTACATGTCAGCCTAAAGACACCCACCACTCATCACTGCACTACAGAGATGTTTTAGTCCATCAGCTTTTATGGGGTGACAATAACACAAACCACTGTCAGACTCTGAAAGGTCTTTTTTTGCCTGCTCATAACTGGAGGACGGAAGGAGGCAACAAAGCAAAATAGCTGAAGAGGACAAAACACCTCTAATTTTGCTCTTATACCACATGATGCTTTTCTTTTGCAATTACCCAGGGCTGCTCACAGATATGTCAGAGGCAGTTGCCCCCTAGGGATTGACTGAGTGGAGGAAAAAAAAAAAAGAGTATTTGGAGAAAGATTGTGGTGTTACTGACATACTTCCCCCTAGGAAAGTGACAGAGTCGCTCTCCATTTTTGTAGGAGTGATTTTTTGGCTGCTTACAGCATTTTGCATGGGGTTGGGGTGCCCAAGAATGATCTGAAAGATATCAGAAGCTCTGCTGCCTTCTGTTCCTGGAGCAGCATCCTTCTCCAACATCACTTTTCGTAATCACTACACAGGGTTGGATGCCCAATAAAAAAAACCAAAAAAAAAAAAAAAAAAATCCCCCCCAAAACCCCAAGTAAACAAAGAAAACAAACAGCAACAAAAACCCCAAACAACAAAAACCAAAACCAAACCAAACAAAACCAAACAGAACAACAAACGATAACAAACAAAAAAGCAAATAAGGGAGCCTAGGCTATGTTAAAAACACCCCTGCACAGCAACTCTTCTCCATGTGCACAAGCCTAAAGCAAACCACCCATGACATGAGAGGTATAAGTCATGTTTGTTATTAAGCTCCTCAGGGGCACTAGGAAATTTTACCAATGAGAGTGACTGATAAAAAAAAAATGAAACAGCAATGGTTTCTCTTCCTTTCTCCTCCAAGAGTTCTCTTTCATTGTCTTGACTGTATCTTGGCTAATTCTGCTCAACATAAGAGACTGAGGAGGCAGGGAATAAAGAAACTTATCTTTCCCTGGGCCAGTAAGTGCATCAAACCATGTTCTTTTCCCATCCTTGGGAGGAAAATCAGAATTGCATTCCAAGTAGAAGAGTGAAACAATAATCTAACATTTTGCTGTTGCACCAGTAACTTCAGCATTTATTTCATACTATTGTTAATGCTTGTTTATAATATAAGGTTATATTTATGTAGGAAGTAAAGTAGATGAAAGCACAAGATATAAATATCATACAAAAGAAAAATACAAAAGAAAATATGTACAGCCACAAATAGTGGTTCTCTGCTGTGTCAGGGCAGAGCCACATGGAGGACTGACACATTCCCATTGCTTCCTGCTGTGAATAGCTGCTGGCTTCCATGGCTGTACTCCCTACAGCCTGGACTGCACAACTCTGCAGTTTCCTGAGGCTGGACCAATAGTTTTGTGGGGGAAGAAGCTAATTGCATATTTCCCCAAGAACTTGATGGGTCAATGTGGAAGAATGTCAGTGACTAAGGGTATCACACCCAAATGGCAAAGAGATAGAGGGCAGGAGCTTGCTTTTTTTCTTTACTTTCCCACTGGACTTGCATTTCACTTTGTTATTTTATTCTAAAGGCTCCACTGCTGTCTTGTGGACCCCATAAAGTCCTTCTCAGCCTACTCTCACTGCCTCCAGGATTCCAGGAGATTTTTTTTTGGTGAATTTTGTCCAGCCTGGACAAATCAAGGATATATTTTCCTTCAGCTCAAAGTTGCAGACCTGTGTAAAAGAAAGATTAAAATTAGTTGTTAATTTCAGGGGATTGACCTGAAATATGTTCATTTTTTTTTATCACTCAGAGTGGATGATCCCTTGTGGAAAATAAGTCTTTGGCAACATGGCAGTTATTGCTGAAAAGTTGTAGCATTTTTCCTTGTGGGATGGTCCTAATGGAGACAGTACCTGTGCTAGAAGGCATAGGCAGGTGTGAGCCTTAGTTACTGTCAAACAAATGGTGCCTTTTTCTCCCCCCCCCGAAAAGTTTCTATATTTATTTCTCAGAATACTAAGGCACTTGATGGCTGGACATCATTGGCAACCATAGGAAATACTCTGGAAGAAGATACCATCCCAAATGAAGTTTTGTCTTCTCAGGAAGCATTTTATTGGTGGAGAGAAACATTTGTGGGTTTGTTGCTTTTTCTGAGTTTTTTTTTACATCCTTATTTTTACTGGTATGATTGTTGCTTTTCCTCCTGCTATCTCTCCTCAAGTCTGTGTCTTTAGGAGATAAATGATGTCTAGTCAAGGAAATGTTTTCTCCGAATAGTGCTGGGCTGCCGCTGCTGTCTTAGCTCCCAGGTGTGCAGAGGAGAGTTTTCATTTGCACACATATCTCTCAACAGTCCTCTCACACTTTTTACAGGTCACGTAGCAGCACCAGTGGTATTTGCAGTGGCAACGCTCCACCACTTTGTCCATGTAGGGGTTGTAGCCTCTGCCACAGCACATCAAGTCGCAGCTGTCACTCCCATTGGAAGTCTTGTTGCATTGTCTGGAAGAAGGAAAACGCTGTGAGCAAGTGCACATTCCTGCTGGGTTTCCCAAACCACTGCTGTGTGATGTTGCTGGGCCTGACAGCTCTGCAAGGCACTGGGTGAAGCCAGCACAGCGAGCACCCAGCCAACAGCCCCCCATGCCTGCAAGGGTGGCAGGGGAAGCCCTGGGCTGCAATCACACAACCTGCTATGATACCCAAAATAACATTAAACTCCTTTTCTGACTCTCAGTTTGGGCCTGGCAGCATCCAGGCTGCTTGTCTGCTGGGCCAGCCTGCTCCCATGTGAACAGGCAAGCAAAGCTATTGGAATACCACCACAAGAAGAACCATCATTCCAAACAATCAGTGTTCCCAGGCAGGTACCAAAACTATCTGAAAGGAGCTGGAAGAAGATGACACCCTAAAGAACAAACACTGGTATTTGTCCGCCACTGCCTAATCTGAAAAGGGAAAAGGAGGAACCCTACAGCCAGATAGTATTTGAACAGGCTCCATGCCAAGGATCCCAGGCTGTAAAGAATCCTGAGCAGGCTGTTACAGCCACTATGAAGAGCTGATCTCATCAGGAAAATCACAATTGATACTAACAGGCCTGGACTGTGCAGCTTTTCCCCTTTGATTTTCTCCCAGCACGGCATGAACAGCTGGGTGGTTGGCCCCAAAACACCCAGAGCCCTGACCCAGGAATGTGGGAGTCCAGGGCATCCCTCTGTCTGCCCTGGAAGGTCTGGGACCCTGGCAGGGGTCAGGAACCCCCTGGACAGAGCCCCCAGAGACACTGTCTGTGCTCTCTGTCCATGGAAAAGAGTTTTCAATCACAAATTCCGACACAGGAACAGAAGTCTGGCAGGAGCACAGGATAGGATGACAAGTCACCAAGTATCACACAGACTTTCACGGCTTGTTTTGCTTCTGCTTTTAATTAAAGACAGACTCAGTGGGATAAATCAGCTGTTGTGTTGGGTTTCCTAATTTTGTCTGCTTGCCAGTGAGTGGTTTGAGGCTTTCAGAAGCTACTCCTTAATTGAAGAGTCTCTTTCATTGATCTGCTCATTACCATTTCACATCTGTCCTCAAAAAACATCCATCCCGTTTCCTAAAATACTCCAGTATTCATTGGACGTGAAAGTGCACCAGGCATTGAATTTTGAATGTGATGAACCATGTCCTAGAGACACCATTTCTCCACAGACTGTAAAGAAACCCAGGATTAAAGTGTTCCTGTTTGGTCAGATGCTTGTGCTTTTTTGATGTGTATCAAACACTATGGGGCCGTGAACTTGATGGAGTTTTGAAACTACTGTAAGAAAGGTGGTTTATTGAGTGGGGTAATTGCTGACATCTCTCCTAAATCTTATTCTGTGTGGCTCTGGGGCAGGAAGAGGAGAGAGGAGCATAAGTTGGACCCTTGATTTAAGCAACTGTTAATAGATGTGTCCAAGATTGAGAGGCAAGATGTTTTCTATTGCTATCTGTGTAGCAGTTGCCTCTGGGCAGTTTTCCTTATCTCCTGTTGATGGGCCCATCAATGTCTCCCCACATCACTCAGAGATAACTCCCTCCAGGAGCCATTTTCTGTTTAACAGGGGATGAAGGACCCACCCATGACTCAGAATGACATCAGCCCATGGTGAGATGCTCTGCCCAGGAGGGAGGAGCTGAGCATTCCCACCTAGATATATCCTGGGATTTTTTAGAGAGGCAGCCTTCCCACAGGTTTCCAACAGGACACAGCTGGGGTTTTCCACTGGACCGACTGGACACCTTTTCTACAGGACCACTGCTCAAACAGAAACCACATCTGCCACTCCAAGAGGACTGCAGCCACTCCAGCACGCTGGCCAAAGGGGTGTGAGGTTGTGTTCTGACTCTGTCAGTGGTCTTCCTTTTGTATTATTGCATGTATTTTGTTTCTTTTCCCTTTTCCCAACAAATTGTATTTCTGTCTTGGAGTCTCTCACTGCTTTCACTTTCAAACTAGAACATAATTTTGGTGCCCAATGTACGGCTCAAGGTACTGAGAAAAGTCAGAATTACAATTTTGTATTGTAGAGGGTACCTATTCACTATGATGCTTAAATGCTTACATGGGTCTTATACCTAGCTCTCTATATTTTCCTCAATGTGGGGAACTATCTGGCGATTGTAATGCTCAAGTGTAGACCAGGGTATGGTAGGAGAATGGCTTTATTGGTCTATTTTCTCTATTGCATTATAACCTTCGAGGCAATGAACATGATTCAGAATATGTACTCAATTCTGTTTGCTTGTCTTAATTTAGGCTGCTACGTCTGGGGCCTTGGCAACCACTCCCAGCCCCTGGGGGGAGGAGTAAATATTGATTTTTTCCAACCTTTCAGGTTTGACACAGCAGTTTTTGAAAATGTTGAGTTCCCTCTGGATGCCAAGGACAGCATAATGTTGTTACTTCTGCTTTGTTTTCTCTGCACAGTTTGAGAAGACAAAGCAGACCATGCTTAGGAAAAAAACACTACATAATGTTATGCAGTGTCTTCTTGAGGAAGAGGAAACAAGAAGCAACGCAGCAGTGTCCATGTCTGTACAGAATGCCACAACGGCATCCATGTCTACACAGACTGTCACAGAGGAGGAAGGAACCAAAAGCAAAACAACAGTGTCCGTGTCTACGCAGACTGTCATGGAGGAAGAAACAAAAAGCAAAGCAAGAGTGTCTACGTCTACACAGACCGGCACAGAGGAGGAAGGAACCAAAAGCGCCATCAGCATCTCCACACAACCCATCGCCAAACCAGAGCAGCCTGAACCCATAGCAGGTGGATCTGGATTGGCAGCATAAGGGAGAACTATTCCTAGCTCGTTGGGCCCATGATGCTTCTGGTCATCAGGGGAGAGACGCAAAATACCAAGGGGTGGACCTTACTATGAACAACATCTCACAGGTCATGGACAACTGCGAGACCTGCACTGCAATCAAACAGGCCAAACGGATGAAGCCTCTGTGGTACGGTGGAGGATGGTTGAAATACAGGTATGGGGAAGCCTGACAAATTGACTACATCACACTTCCCCAAACCCGCCAAGGAAAACGCTATGTACTGACCATGGTGGAAGCAACCACAGGATGGTTGGAAACCTACCCTGTGCCTCATGCCACTGCCCGGAACACCATCTTAGGCCTAGAAAAGCAAGTCCTGTGGAGACACGGCACCCCTGAGAGAATTGAGTCAGACAATGGAACACATTTCAAGAACAGCCTTATCAACATCTGGGCCAGAGAACATGGCTTTGAGTGGATATATCATATCCCCTATCATGCACCAGCTGCCAGGAAAGTTGAACGATGCAATGGACAATTTAAGACCACCCTGAAGGCACTCAGTGGGGGAACCTTCAGGAAATGGGAACTGAACTTGGCAAAAGCCACCTGGATGGTCAACACCAGAGGGTCCATCAATCGAGCTGGTCCTGCCCAGGAGCCACTTCTGTTTAACAGGTGATCAAAGACGCACCTCGTGACTCAGAATGACATCAGCCCATGGTGAGATGCTCTGCCCAGGAGGGAGGAGCTGAGCATTCCCACCTAGATATACCCTGGGATTTTTTAGACAGAGTGGCAGCCTTCCCACGGGTTTCCAAGAGGACACAGCTGAGGTTTTCCCCTGGACCAACAACACCTTTTCTACAGGACCACTGCTCAAACAGAAACCACATCTGCCTCTCCAAGAGGACTGCAGCCACTCCAGCACGCTGGCCAAAGCAGTGTCAGGTTGTATTCTGACTTTGTTGGTGGTCTTCCTTTTGTATTATTGCATGTATTTTGTTTCTTTTCCCTTTTCCCATTAAATTGTATTTCTGACTTGGAGTCTCTCGCTGGTTTTGCTTTCAAACCAGAACAAGATGAAAACAAATCCATGAGAATTATAGGAATTGCTCATAAGGTAATGCTTTAGGAGAAATTATAGGATTAGTGAAGTGTTGAGATTTTGTTCTTGCACTTCTTTAAGTTTTTCTGCCTCCTGTTTTTACTCTGATTCACATTCCTCTACAGGTTCAATGTTTAAAGCCCCCCAAACTCACTCTCATTCAGGAGTGTGTGTAAATATTTAAAAACCTTTTAAAGCCTCTACCGAAGCTGAAGTGTGCAGCCACACTGAATGTGTTTGCCTAACACTGAACCAAAGGCTTGTTAGTGCCTTTGTGAACTGGGGCCCCTCCATGAGAAATCTCCAAATGACTCCTCATAAATGTATTCATAAATGTGTTAAGTATTCAAAGCAAAGGTTCAAATATAGGTGTGTTGACATTAGAAGAGGGGAGGGTATTTGTCAACCTTACTCAGCTTTGCCAGTGGATGAAAATGTTGTTTCCTGGGGGTTCACCTAGGGAGGGTGGGGAATCTGCAGAAGCGTGGTGAGGGATGTGCAGTGCATCCATGTCACTTCATGCTGGGAGCTCACTAAAATGGCCAAGAAAAGGAATACGGGTCCACTCTGATTCCAGCTCACCACTGAGGACATTCACACCCCAAACATACAAAGCACACAGCAGTGACATTTACCCCATTCAAATAGAAAGCAAAACTCTTCTACCTGCTGTACTGGGACCTGGGATTCTCTCTTTCCCTCCATCCACTCCTGTGGTTTGCCAAAAAAAAAAAAAGGAAAAAAAAAAAAGTGAATCTAGTAGAAGATATGCCTTCCCATGTACCTTCCCCACTGCCCACAGTCTGAAACAAAGAAAGGAAAAAAGAAAAATCTTATTAAATAAATCCTCAAACCTCCCTCAGTTTGGCATCAGGAAATGGGGACACTCCAAATGGATGGATTGAATAGCCAAAACAAAGGTTTTGACCCCATCATAAACATATATGGGCTTTTAGAAAAATTTCCTGACAATGCCACTAAGCAGAGATTTTGTTTTCTGCTTTAAAGCATAGACCTGGATATGAGTTAGATACATTTTTCATTAAGCAAGATGAAACAGGTAGTTTCTCAGCAAGTGGGAGAAGACAA